AAGAATTACGTCTCTTATATAGTTTTGCTTATACCGTCACATTATTTCGGCAGTAATCTCGTCTATTTCCAAATTCTATATAATATTACGTGTTTCATAGTTAACGAAAATATGAAATATTTTCCCCTCTAAAAACACGTCAAAGCTATTTGTTTTGAAAACCCTCTGTTTTGCTCACATAATTAATGTCTTGTGCGAACATAAAAGACATGAAGAAGGGTGGGTGGCGGGGGACATGAGAGAGAGAGAGAAGCACAAGTGGCATTCCCCAGAGGTAAACTCCTTCGTCGAAGGAAGGTCCAACTGGGGAATTAGTATCTCGTTAACAAAGTTTACCGGCTGCTTTTGTATATATACTGAAACGCTGACTGGTTATTTATAGCAAACGCAGGACACACGTTAATGCTTTTTCCCCTTTCCATACAGGTATAAATAGGCACACGCGAAAATCGGTGGTTTTAGGTGTTCTCTCTTGTGTTTTAGATATATATTACATACAGAAAGCGAAGGGAGAGTGGAAAAGCGAAATTGTTGAATAAACGTTGAAAATACGTTGCGTACTTAGGTTACGGTAAGAGCTTCTAAGCACCCAATGTCTCTGGTGCTTGGTCGTTAACACCTGCTCCATCTCGTAAAGGACTTTGGGGACCATGTATTGTTGCCCTAAAACAGCCTATATAACCCCCCTCATTCTCCTTTAACCCCCCCTACAGGAAAGCAATAATTCGGTATGTGCCTACCGTGAAACACGATCTACTCAATTTGAGCACATATATATATATCTCTACGAATAGAATTTATCATCAGGATGTAATTGTTTGATATGAAAAATCCAATATTTGTTTTATTTCACATTCGTTTGCACACTGTGTTAAATTTTATAACCGCATTCACTTTATTTACTTTTCTTTATTATATAAATTTTTTTTAAATTTTAGAACTTATTTATCACGAAAATCTTTACGAAAAATTCATTTTCATTTTTAAAAAATATATTTAAACTAAAAAAATTGTTTCTTTTTAAAAATTGGATAATAAAATCTGAATTATATAATACCAAGTTTTATTAATTCAAAATTCTTTTAGCAAAATTTCGCTTTTATATACTTTCTACAACTTGTAAAAATTTTTAATTATAATTATTTTCATTATATATTAATTAAATTAAAAAATTTGATTTAATTTGGAAAAATCTTTTTCAAAAAAGAAAAAAAAATTAATATATTTAAAAATACAGGGCTTATGTCACATGCCACTTAGGTGAAGAGGAGATCAGTATTTCATACAGTTTACATATACTATTATACACTTTAGCTCATTTCTCTGTTACCCCAACAAGGGACCATTATGGGTCGCGGTACTTAACGTATGATTCTGACCCCCCCACCCTGATATGCTCGTTATTATAGGGTAACTTGAATTCATATACGGGTATACATACATATATATATAGGTACACTGTGAACGAGACATCCAGAGGACGCACTTTGGCGAGAGGAGGGTCGGCGTTTAGAACCGATAATCGAGGACCGATACTAGAAGGCAGGGCCATTTTCCGATTCACCACTACAACCACATTTGCCGTCTTCCTATATATATACACCAGAGAGAGAGTTCTCGTGTACACTTATCGCGTTGTTATCGATCTCAAACTGAATTACGACGGACGCGTGCCACTTGCTGATCCACGTGCTCTTAGAACCTATCTACTACTTTACCCTGGGAAATAGAAATTTTATGATCTTCCAAGGATGTTCACTGCGGTTCATTTTCTACACTCCAACGACTTACAAATAAGCATATATAATTTTTTATACCTTTTTTCGAAATCAAGTTTAGAAAAACAAGCTACAAGAATTATTATTCTAATTTAATCAAAGAATCATTAGAATATTAGAATGATTAGAATTTATTAGGAAAAAATTTTTCTATCAATTGTATATAGAAAAAAAGAAATTTTGTCTAAAATTTTTCAAAAAATTAGCAATAATAAACGAACCGAAGCAGTGATAATTGTTACTGTACAAATTTATACCACAAAGATTACAATTAAATTTAATACTCTAAGGGTTTAATTCAAAATGAAAGGGTTTAGAGAGAAAGAGAGAGAGAGAGAAAGACCCTCTAAACCGCAAAGCTTTAGGGAACCTAATTTCAATTTCGAATTCACCGGGGGATTTACGAGCCCCAAGTCTTAAAGTATAGGGAATTGAAAATTCTAAGAGCCTGCGCGCTCAGTGAGGATTGAAAAGTGATATCTTTTGGTAAAATGCTCGACATTTTCGCAAAAGTATGGAATCTAGTCCCTTTAAGCCGTATATACAAGAACGACAAACGTGAAGGGTCAAAAAAAAAAAAAAAAAATGGACAGCAAAAAATAAATTTGACCTTTTCACATATCTGCGAAAATTACAGTGAATCGGAAATGATTTGAAAACTGTTTGAAAAACAGGAAGGAAGGAAGGAAGAATAGAAGAAAAAGTCCGAGGGAAAAAAGGAAATAATATTATTTATCAATCTTGAAGCGGTAAAGGGAGAAAGCCAAGACGATCCCTTCTGGTCTCGAAAAAGAAGAGAGGAGAGGGGCACATGTATAATGCATCCCTCGGGAAGGATCTGTAGCCGATCCCGTCTCCTTCGGTGTACACAGGTACAACATTGAGAGTTGTGTATCCGTAGGAGGCACAGGTGCAACTTAGTGTACGTGTATGTGTGTGTGTACACCCAATACGTGATGTGTATATCGAAGGGATGCGGTTTGCCTCTCTCTCTCTCTCTACTGGGATGCCTCGTGTTATTATCCGGACCCGTGTTGTGTGGTTCCAGGAGCAAGTGCTCGCGGTGCTATCAGTTTGGTTTGAATCGAAACTCGAAACCTTACGCTAGTCGTTTGATTTCTATTCCTGTTTCGAGACTCGATGTCGCATGCATTTCAAATGCAGAAAGAAGAAAAAGAGAAAAAAAAGAGAGAGAGAGATAAAGAAACGATATACGCTTCAGGTCCAACGGCGGAAAATAGCAAATTCCGAAAATGGAGCTAATAGAGACCGTTTCCAACTTTAGAGGGAAATCTTTTTCCCCAGAAAAGAAGAGACAAAAAGAAAGACTGATGCAATTCGAAAAGAAATTCTGGAATTTAACTCTCAACTGAAAACTGAATATATAATGTACAATAGTTTATTTTTTCTATATAGAAAAGAGAAAAACAATTCAATTAAAATTAGAAAAATTCAAAATTTAAGTAAATAAAATGTTAATAAAAAAATAATACTAACCTTCTGTTTTCTCCATAATAATTTATTCGCTCCATTTTCTTTTCTCATTCAAAAATCCAAAATCTATGCATCAATTTCTTAATAAATGTAATTTTTTCGTCCCATCGATTTTATTTTTTTCTGATCCAGAAATCCAAAATTTATGCCTCAATTTCTTAATATAATTCTTTTGTCCCATCGGTATTATTTTTTTCTAATCCAAAAATTGTTACGTCCTTGCCAATTTTCCTTGTTTCCTCTAATCAGCATTCTGTTTCTTCTCGTCCAGAAATTGAAAATTTATGCTTCAATTTCTTAGACGAGTGTAAGACCTTAAAAAAGGATTCTGTTATATTTTTTGTAATAAACAATTTTTTTTTTTAAATACTACTTCTATATACAAAGTTTCGATTTTTCTCAAGTTCCATTTTATATATAAAGTAAAGGTTTCTTTTTTTCTTTCAATTTGCAAGCATTGAATAACTCAGACATGCGAGTTTCGAAGCTGAAAATTTACGGAGAGATATTTTGAAATTCTACACTGGTCGAACTTTGCCGAGTGTTCCTTACGAGAGGTTTTGAGAAATATTTCGCAAAATACATGGCACGTGCGTGCTCGCGGGGTCGAATTGAAGAAGCAGGAAAATCGTGCAAAATATCGTTTCTATTCGTTGGGAGAAACCTATATATTTATATATATATAAAATGCCAATGCATAAAAAGCAAAGAAGTCTGAATATAATTCTTATAGAGAAAGAGAGATGAAGAAAAAAGAAGATAATAAATCCATTAACGTCACTAAATGATTTTTCATAATCCTTTTAGTAGCGAGAGTTGATTGAATCGTCGCAATGATTTAGATTATACTTTTATAAAAGATCTCCGCTATATATAAAATTGAATTACCAAATGATCGCTATGATTAAATTACTAATCTTGGAACTCATTTGTTTCTGATTGAAACGTCTAATGAGTTTAGCTGTTCTTATGAGATTCGAAGGTGGTGTTTGGAGTAATTCGCTTTCGATTTGAACGGCCATCCTCTCTCCCTAGGGTGAAACTATCGCCAGACTTTCCAAGGAATCGAGGGATGGAATCGCTTAAAGCGATTTCAGCGGGTTTAAAGTTCTCTCGCGGTTTACCCCCTTCAATGTCTTGGGAGTCAAGAGTCTCGAAGCTATATCCAAGAGTTCCATCCATTGTCATATTTTGTTCGAAAAGAACAAAGGAGACGCCTACACGTAATCAATCAAATTAATATGATTAAATAAATCATTTTGCTTGGAAAAATTTTCAAAAATAATTTGATAAATGAATGTTTTCAACAATAAAAAAATTTGCCCACTACTAAAAAGAAAACCTCTTGAAAGCGTTTACAATTTTAATTTTAGCGAAAATACCAAAAAAAAAAAACACCTTTTTATCGTACAAAGTTTGCTGTGCTACAATTCTCTACTAAAACATTAACCTCTATTTTTCTATTAATTAATATTTATTATTAATTCCACTAAAACTATTTCAAATAATTTTTATAATCTATTTGGCGGGACAAACATAACCTAGAAAACGGTAAAATTGTTTACATTAAAATATATATATGAATCAGAATTTAATTTAATATTCAAAACTGCTGTGTCAATTGTAAATAGTGACAAAAACCTTTATCTTTGACCACAATCACCCCTTCAAAAGAAATGTAAACAAAGACTTATGTGAGAAAACAAATGACTTACCAAAGATGTATCGTTTTCCCGCAAGTAGTTGGAAAGTTTCCAGGTGACAATTCAATTACACTCAAATCTCTCGAAAATCATCAAAAATTACAATTGAAAGGTGAAATTATTTGTACTATACTCACACTTTTAATACAGTTCCAATGTACAAATTCTCCCCCTGCGAACGACTTCGACTGAATTTCTCCTCCCGTCGCGTCGACTCGACTCGATTCGCCTCGCCTCGGATGCTCCATAGTTCAGTATCAGCTTTCAGTCCGGGGCGAACACTTCATGAGTGAGGCACGTGAATATTCTCTTCTTTCTAAACACAAGAGAAACACCCGAACTCTGTGAGAGCCTTTTTCTTTACTGTCTCTATACTTATATTGAGAGCTTAAAACCGGAAGTACTTGATACAAACATACCGTTAAAAACTCGTGGAAAGCTTCAATAGTTTTTGCCGGAAAATGTGCAAGGGCGGAAAAGCAGTTGTAGTAGCACGCTGCTTTTGGTGGTAGAATCGATCGTTGCCTTTCTGGTCCGAGGTGCCGGTTTTCTGTTATACGTGAATAATTTTCCGGAATTATTTCCAAAAAAAAAGCTCTATTGAAAGTGTCATTGCCAACATAAGAATAAAAAAAAAAAACCTAAAAAAAGTCCACCAATCAGGACGCGTTGTTTAAATATCATTGTTGCTGATTTGAACATTAATCCCGCCAAAGTGGAAATATTTCTTCTCAATCACCTCCCCCCTTTTTTTTGTCAGTTATTAATTGGACGTTAAAGATGGAGTATCCTAGGATGTTTTTCACAGTTTTTTATTGCAATAATGTTCGGTGACGGAAGAAATAGAGTGTGATATAATGTGCATTAAGGATATAAATTTAAGATTTGTCGCCTTTTAGTGAAAAAAAAAGAAAATCGTCGATTTACATATATGGAAAGAAGCGGATTTAACGACAAAGGGTTAATCGAGCATCAATTCCTCTCAAAGATTGTCCAGTGTCAAGTGGATTTCGACGAGGGTTACTACTACAGGATTTCATCAACAATGATGGTGAGTTTTCTTTTATATATTATAATATGAAATCTGTTTCGGGTGGTTTTTTGTGGGACCGAAAGATTGATTTCACACATATACCCATATATGTCTAAAAAAAAGGCCGGTACTGTTGAGAGGTTAGACCAATTTTTTACCTGCTTTTCAGAATGTATTTTCTTTTTCTTTTGAGAAGGGTGATTTAGTAAATAGAATTCAAATTAATATTTTAGAGCCTCTTTTTTAACTTTTTATTCAAATATTTATTTGCTGTGGTTGTATCTCACGAACAGCTGTTTTGGCGGCATAAATAAACAAAATGGCGTACATATTTACATTAGTAGGACAATTTTGTTGACACATTTGGTTTTTATAATCCCTGATTTATGTGAAAATGTAAAGTTCATTTGTTTTCAACTTTTATCTCAATTTGTACAATAATTATTGAGAAAAAAATTGTTTTACTCAGTGTTGAAGATATAGAGGTATTTTTAATAAAATAATTGAGGGTAATTATATTTTCTAATAAATATTAATTATAGGTTATGTTCAATAATAAGAAAAGTATTTGCTTGTTTAAAAAAAATATTAATGTTAGATTATAAAAATAATACTATTGGAATTAAAATTTTATAGAAAAAATTAGAACATAATCTTAAAAAAAGTTAGTATAAACGTGTAAATAAAATATACAAATTCATTTTTATTATTATTATTATATTTATAATTATTTATTAATCTTTTCACATTTAACTTTATAAAAAATTAATTTAATACAATATTAATAAGGAAATTAATTTTCAACTGTTATTCAGAAACCATAATAAATATAATAAGCTGAATGATGTTCGTTTTCATGATATATGAATAATTTGAATAACATTGTATAATTACCATTTGCATTAAATTCAATGTTAACGATAATTATAAATAAATAAATCTTTTTGAATATATTTATTGATGAAGGTGTTTCAGTTTAATTAAAATGTAATACTATATATAGACGTGTATATACATATTAATTAAATTACGCAAAATGTTAATATGTTCACTTTGAAAATTAAACCAATATTACTATATATATATATATATATATATACAGAAAGGTAAATTGAAATGTTTGAAAAAAGTTTAAATGATTAATTGTTTTTTATATACCTATGTAAATTTTTTCTCAATTACAAAAATTTATTGTACTATTTTAAAAAACAAAAATTTTTATGTTGAAAAATATTATTTTTTCTGTTATTATATTATAAGGTTATAATAATAATAATAATAATAATAATAAAAATAATTATGATAATAATAATTTAATAATTATTATTATTGTAATAACATTAATTTTTATTACATCTATTTTTTTTCGTTTCTATGATTCAGTACAGTTTGCATTATTATTATTATTTTTTTTTATTGAGTTATAATACAATGGGGACAAAATGACCACGGATACCATTAAAATTAGGTACAAGAAGAGCATTAGTTCTGTATATTCTCTAACCAAAATGATATCTCCTACCCTCTTGGTGTTCTAACTCGATGTTACTTTATCATTCTGGTACTAATGACCTTAGTCTGTGATAACACTGCACAATAGAACAGTGCACTATAGCAGTATGTACTAGAGTCCTATACTCTATGAATAGTGATTATCTAAATGTGACCACGAACAGTCGATGGTCTTTAACAATAAGATTTGAACTCGGTTTTCCTTCTCTATAAATATTTGCTCTTGTAGCCTATAAATTCTTAAAATAAATATACAAACAATTCCATTGTTATTAAATATTTTTTTTTAGCAAATTAATTAAAAATCAACTCATGAATTATTTATACACACAGAGAAATGATTTATTTGAACCAAATAAAATATATTTGAGTTAAATAAACGTATATATATTTGTCTCAGAGTGCCTATTAAATTATTTATTTGGCGTAATTAAAAATTTTATTTGTCATAAATAAATTTTTCTTTGGCTCAAATAAATGTTTTATTTAAATGAAGTAAAATATATTTGCAAACAAATAAAAGAGTTAGTAGGCTCGGAGAAAAATATACAATTTCTCTAAGTGTAGAAGAATTTAAGATTTTGTAATTTATTTTCGCATTTTTTTATGTTGAAACAAAAATTTGTGAAAAAAAAATCAATTTCTTGATGTTTGATATTATTATTTAAGATAATAGAAAAGTGTTTTGAAGGAATGTTAAACAATATCCTAAAATAGAAGAATTATAAATCAAATCATGATTAATATGAGACTTGTGGGAATAGTGCCAAATCACTTTTCTAAATAAAAGCCAATTGTGATTCAACACGTTGGATTTCCGTGTATATAATATGTTTTGATACTTGACATACATATAGACTAAACAGTCGTTTTTTGTGTTGAACGAAACAGTCATTCAATAAAAGATGACGCTACACTGAAGAAAAGAATTATTTGATTCAAATACTCGATTACTTGACTATATTGTCAAATAAATATTTATTTGTATCAAATAATTATTATTATGGTATTTGTTTCAAATACAGAAATTATTGGTTCAAATACAATTTATTTAATTCAAATAAAAATTATTTGGTTCAAGTAAATATTTATTTGATAATACTCAAGTAATCGTGTATTTGAATCAAATAAATTTTTTTTTCAGTAGGGCATTCCACGTGGGATTTTCATTTAATATTTTCTTTTTAAAATCTGTATTAAAAATAAGAAATACGTTTTTTATTTGATAAAAATTATGAATTTTTTTTTAATTTAACGTATCAGAAAAAAAAAATTTTTTGAATGAAAATCTCACTTGAAATGCCTCATATTGAGTTATAAACGAATTGCTCCTTTATAGTATAGGTGTGTGTATATGATATATAGAAAGTCGACTTGAAGGGAAACAAACAATTGTTTAAAGTACCCCCAAGAAGTTTGGTCCTTCGAAATAACTGTTCGCATTCAGCCATCAAGAGTATAGAAGTTAATTGAATGTCTTACTTCGGGCAAGTAAGTTTCAATGTTTCAGAAATGTTATCCGCGCAGAGTCTTCTATATATATATATATAGAAGATGAAGGATTTCATTCGTTAAAACGTAATACATTTTACGATCCTATTGTATTTTATACGACTATAATCTTTTTATAACATAAAATACATATATATTTTATAGATTAATATTTCTATTCCGCACAAAGGCGCTAACTATATATTTGCATAAAAATAAAATTCTTTTGTTGCTTGAAGAAAAAAAAGTATTTTAAAATTATTTTTCACTTACTAAATTGTATCACTAATTGGATGGAAAGATTTTGCTTTGCGAGGAAATAGATTATCTTAGGTAACAATTGAGAAACTGAGGTGCGATAGTTAAAAATAAAAGAAACGGAAAATAATTATAAGAAAGGAATCAGGTTGGCGTGTTCTTGCTTGTTATATAGTTATTAGTGCCTTGTAATCGGTACGCCAACAGGAAGCTGACGAGTCGTTTTTAGTTATACGTTCATCACCCTTTGGATAACCCCTTTTTGCGTTATAACTCTCTAGAAATATAGAAGTTTGTCACGTAGGGATTCTTCAATTTAAAATTTTTTTTATCAAAATTTGCATTTTTACTATACTCGAAAGTCAAAGATTAGAGGATAATTATCATTTATTTACAGAACAAACAAAAAGTAATACTAATCGTATATTCTTTCAATAAGACTTGATTGGTGAACATTAGGAAAAAAATTAAACGTATGAATAAATTATTGATTCCTTTATGGCATGTAGAAAGGGTGTAAATAATTGATTAGGTTTGTTGAGGGGGGGAAGGGGCCCTAATAACCAGAAATTTATTTGTCTTCAATCAAAATGTGTGTGTGTGTATACTTGAGCTTCTCGTAGAAACGTCGATTACTATTGGCGAATAAATCAACGTCAGTCAAACATGCCGCGGATCGATTCGAATTATTTGAAGTGAAACTCAAACCTTTGCTCTCTCTCTCTAGTAATATAACGATGTACGCGCGCGTTCATCGATCGTTGCTGCGCTAAAGAAGAGTGTTTCTAAAACTGAATGAATGCCACGCGCGTGCATGCAAATTTACAAAATTATGTACCAATTCTCGATTTATGGTGTTTTTTTTTTTACTTTTTAGTTATGTTTATTTTATTACATGGGTATTTATATATTTGTGCATATATGATTCGCGGAACGATGATAACAATAGGGGTGTTTTTATGACCTTCAACCTCCTTTCCCCCTTTACTCTTACACCCCACGTTTCCCATCACTTTCTCTCAGTCTATCGCAAAATTTCCCATCCCTATATTTTTCCCCCTTAGCAAATATTAAACGCTTGAAAGCATTCTGATTTTCGAATGAAAATATCATTGAGGGTCTATAATAGGCGTTAATTACACGTGCGTGCGATTTCTGTCCCTTTAGTTGGCTTCAAGGTATTTAGATGCGACGGGTCTTTTTAAATCTTTTTTTTTTTTGCGACAGAGAGAGTGAGAGAGAGAGAATGAGAGAATGAGATAATACGCAAAAAAGGGTGCACGAATTAAGAGCAAAAAAGAAACGAACAAACCTCTTGAAAAGAGGTTGTATGTAAAGATTGGGAAAGAGAGAATAGGGCAAAAGACGAAGGACTCGTTATGAATTCAAGTTGTGTGTGCAAGTATAGGGACCTTCTATAATGTCGCTTGCTTGGAAGACACGGGGATAAATTATCCTGTCGACGCTCCTTTGGAATTCCCACATCCGCACAGAGAACATGCTCATACTTCTTCTTTCTCGGGTATAGTAGAATGACCTTATAGCACTCGAGGAAACTTGAGAAGTTGACCTAAAAGTTGTGTAAACATGGAAAAGTGATAAAAAATTTATTTTTCATCGCTGTGAGATAAATACATTAAAATTCAACTTAGAAAAATTATTCTAACGTCAGCAAAATAGCATTTTAACTAATTCAAAAAATTTCAGACTAATATTAAGCCTAAGCAGAATGAAATTTCTAATCGTAAATCTTAAGC